TAACATTCATAGCGTGTCGTAGGTAAATGTGACATAGAGAGCGTCAGCTAACGGTAAGGTAAACTTGACCAGTCGTGTCGACTGTCGAAACGATAGAATGCGTGGGAACTGCTGTATAAATCGTATCTAACAATGTTTTGTTACATATCCTCATATTGTTGAAATAATATATTCATTATCCAACTGTCCTCGAATAAGTGTAATGTGTTTTGAGTGTAAACAGTATGTATGTATATTCTTTGATACGGTACATAGGTATATGAATATATACTCTATAGTAGAAACGGTCGTTACTAGATTTTGGATATGAGGGATTATTTTAATTATTTAAATAGTTTTTCTCATTATAACAATATGGTTTTCAAACAAAATCTAGTTAATTAATATAAAGAATCTACGCAAATACAAACACAAGTTTAACTTTAAAAAAATGTTTTAATAAAATAGTCCTGTATAGTTTTACACGTCTTATAAACCCAGATTGTTGGATGGGAGGTGCACGTTTCATTCCTGCACGTGGCAAACGTACTGGCATACAAATTTATATGTAACTAGCATTGCCCGCGGCTCCGCCCGCGTCCAGATAACCAAAAAACAAATTCTTAGGTTTTAGATATTAGTATACTCTTTCAAAGCAGTTTTTGTATTTTTTCTCAGAAATGAGATATTTTCCCGCGGTAAAAAGTATCTTATATGTTGATCCGGATAACCAGCTATCATCATACCAAATTTCATCAAAATCTGTCCAGTGATTTTCTCGTGATGCGGTAACAGACAGACAGATGGACAAAAATTCTAAAAACTATAGAATCGGACCCTGTATCGATAATAATGTCTATTTTAATTAGATTTTCCAAAAAATATTTAATGTACAGATTCGACTTAGGTACAACTTTATAATATGTATAGATAGATATTTATAGCTGTTGTTCTTTACCTACCTGTACCTGTTGTACCTTTGGGCCAAATATATTAGTAATAAGAATTTTCTACATCATCAAGCAGAAGCTCTAATTGGTGGTGGCACTCAGTTAGTGGTATGGTGAGGATGTACATACTGGAAAATTAATTTCTGATGGTTACTTTACAAAGCGCCTATAAGTATTATGTTTTTAATCCCTCCACGACCGCGGACACGCCGGCGTGTCAGTTAACAATAGATTTTTTAGAATTTTAATTAATTTCTTAGAAATTTACCTGGAGGTGGTAAAAGTCATCAAGTTCGTAACGTCTGTTTCTTGAGGAAATACACTCAAGTCATATAAGACATTGTATAATTTTGAGGGCGCTTCATTACTAAGGTTTTCCAAGTATTTCCTACAACTCCTTTAACTATTCTTATACATTAAACATTTATTTTATTGATGACTTTGGTTTATCGGAACTGGTGTGTGGTAAGGATTAAGTTCTAGATTGATAAGGTCCGAAAGAAATTCATACGTCCAGACATGAAAGTAGTGCATACAACCATAATAATTTTTAGCAAGATGAAGACAGTAACCTGACAATATCTGTCCTAGATCCAACAACTGTTGAAGCAGACGAGTTTTATAGTGTAAGCCTCGCCCAGGAAAGCGTAGTATGTACTGTGTAGCCTAGCGACTTGTTTGACAGTGAACCATAAAAGGATTGCCAGTGCTAACTGGATCGATCGAGAATTGTTATGCAACCTTTTTTATTCTTTATTGCACTTTAAATGTAATAAAAAAAACTGACAAAGGTAGACTTATCTCTGAAAGAGATCTCTTCCAGTCAAGCCCTGGATGTGGAAGAGGATGTCAGCGGGCAATATAGTGCAAGAAATAAATATACTAAAAATAATAAAAATATATAATACTAAACATATATAACACTTAAAGTAAGGACTACTTATACATACATATATTTATATTTTTAACATATGAAATATGAAAAAACAAAAACCTTACATTTTTCATTGTCGTCATGTACATTGTAGAACCATGTATGAATATGCGTTCCTCTAAAGTCTAACTCTCTGACAATTCTAAACTTGTCTTCCTTGAAACTGAAAATGGGAGCGTTTTCGTAAAATATTATCTGGCCTTGAAGTGTAGAAGTATGATCACATATCGAGCATTACAGGCTACAGCCGCTACACACTCGATGACTATCGCGTCGATAAGATAACACTTAACACAGCGTTGTGTCACATTTCTTTAAAATTCATCAATTCACTTGAGGAAATGACAAAAAATTTACTAGTAAATTTTTAATTAATCACTTTATAATATTTTGTTAAAGTTTTTCTATACCTGTTTACTATGTGTACGTGTCGCCCTAAATATCAATCCGATAAAGAAATACCGGATATAATTACTACAACCAACCATGCTATTCATTACGTAAAGCGCGACACATATTGATATAATTGTGTATTAAAGTTGGAATTTTTAATAATACATATATCTATAATAATATTATAAAGCTGAAGAGTTTGTTTATTTGGTTGGTTGGTTGAACGCGCTAATCTCAGGAATTTTTAATCCGATTTCAAAAATTCTTTAGATAGCCTGTTAACTGAGGAAGACTATAGGCTCCCCCCCAACGTGCGTTCACCTTGTCGTGGTGGGGGGGCTCAGTAGTAGTAGTACGAAGCTAAGAAACGCACAGGGAGGTTGCCCACTTCGGTGGGCGGTGGGAGGTGGCCCTCTTCGGGGGGCGGTGTACCTTGCGGGTTGCTCCTGGTACTTCTCTGATAGCAGAGTGGACCTTGGAGCAACCCCAAGGTTGTGGTGGTCTGCTTTGGCAGACCTGCCGTCGGGGCGTCGTAGTTGAATGCGTAAGCGATCCTGCGACGCCCCATTAAGACGGGGGAAGGTTTTGTTGGGTTTTAGTGGGTAGTACTGGCTGTATTACGCCGGTGAGTCCCACACGTCGTGCGTAAATGCATTTCCCAACGTTAAAAAAAAAAAAAAAAAAAAAGGAAGACTATAGGCTATATATCATCCCGGAAAAAATGTACGGTTCCCGTGGGATAGATCTGTAGTTGTCAAAATATGCAATTTCTAAGAATATATCCAAAATAAAATATCCAAAACAAAAATGACAAATAGTAATTTACTTAAATGGTAAAGCTGCATATATTATTAAAACAAGCTTTTGAAATAAATATTTATTAACCGTCACTGGATGAATCACAAGTGCATATGATTCACTTATAAATTATAGACACCTGATGACAATGATGACGAATTCCAAAAACAAAGCAAGTTAATGCCTTCAAAATGCTTTCGGCGATATGATAGTGCGAAACGTACGTGGACTGCGTATGTAGGTACATTTATTTCTTCCAAATTCCGCATTTTAAGCCCACGTTGCTTAGTCTTAGCTACTTTGATTTTTTTAAATCGTTGTCGCTAATAAAGCAGAAAATATCGTAATAATTGCTTACTTCTTTCTGTTTATTCTTATCTCTTTCTTTTTGATATGAATCGGCAAACAATCCCAAAAACAGAAAAAAATCTCACTTAAGTTATATAATAAATACGATCTCGCTCAAACTGAAATAGAATAATTTTAAATTCATAAAATGACTCGAAATTTATCAACGTATTCCAAATATAGGCCAGACAAATTGGCAACAGGGAAAAATATATGAGCAAACTTAACATAAGTGCTTTCACACATACTTAAATACCTACATAATATAATGTATACGAATTGCTCTCGGCTCGCTCGGGCCTAGATACCTTTTATTTTTTTTGCACTAAACCCTAATATGGACTTTGTAATTGGTACTAGAACCAAAATTCAAAATATTTTATTTTTCTAAATTTTTATGGAAAAAGTAAAGATAAATGAAAACATCGTGAGAAAATCTGCATGTCTGAGAAAATCTAGCAAGTTTTCGAAAGACATGTGAAGTCCGCCAACCCATACTTGGCCGGCGTGGTGGACTATGGTCTGATTCCCCTCGTACTGAAGGGAGGCCCGTGCCCAGCAGTGGGACGTGAGAAAGGGCTGAATACAATAATCATCTACATAAAAATAGTGTGTAACATAATATAATTTTTATATCACAAATATTTTTGTATTACAACACCAACATAAAAAAATGATTTTAATAAAAAAACTTGCATAATATTCTATTAATTAAATTAAAAAAATATAATTTATTTCTTAATAGTGATAATAAGTACATATTTAATTAATTCCTATCTAATAATGTATGTAACGTGAAGCGATGCGACTTTGAACTTTGTTCATTATGCCACGTCCATTCGGTTATGACGAACACTTGGCCGACATAAATGCGAAAGGTACCCAACAAAAAATAAGTAAACTTATTGCTCAAACATTATAGGGTGTTAAGTACAATAGTATACTTATCACCCCCTGCGCTGCGGCCATAATCTGTTCCTTAAAGTTAAAGCAATAATAATAAAATTCCTTCGCGATTTTAAAAAAAACGACCTCTAATCTGTTGAATGATTCTATTTCTATAATAGTGCAGAACAAAATTTTATCCTAATTAATTAATTTTAAATTCTCGTTACGCCGTTTCGATTTCTTTTAACATTCTGTAAATGCAATATTGACCTGGACTAAAAAAAACATAAAGCCGCCCCCGACATTTCATCATTATATCAGGAAATCACCACTTCCCGCGGTCGCTTCTCATCGGCAACTCGTTAAATGATGCAATCAATAGATAAGTGCGTATTTAATTGTGCTCGCCGGCTGTAATGCCGCGAGTAATTTTAATGCTTGTTTTGAGATGCGTAGCTAGCGGCGGCGGCTACCAGATGACGCCACGAATATAGGTGGAAATAGGGTCAGTGCTGTGTCGTTGATCCGAACGGAGACTGCGGCTGCGGGGAGCCCCTCGAGCCTCCGTCTCACCCGCACCCCTCACCCCGCTCGATGGTCTCACCCCGCCTGCCGCGAGCATTCCGCACTCGACACGAGGGCGAAGCGCACGCCCGACACTTCGATAACCGCGACCGACGCGCCGCGCGCCCGCGGCAACATCAACCGCCATGTTTGACGTTTTCGGTTCCGTGAAGGGCCTACTCAAGCTAGACTCGGTGTGCATCGATAATAATGTATTCCGTCTACACTACAAAGCCACCGTGATCATCCTGATCGCTTTCTCGCTGCTGGTAACTTCACGCCAGTATATCGGAGATCCCATCGATTGCATCGTCGATGAAATTCCGTATGCCGTTATGGACACATACTGTTGGATATACTCAACATTCACGATCCCGAATCGGCTCGTTGGACGCGTTGGAAAGGATATGCCTGCGCCAGGCATCGGCACCCACGTTGAAGGAGAAGATGAGGTGAAATACCACAAGTACTACCAGTGGGTGTGTTTTGTGCTTTTCTTCCAAGCTATTCTGTTTTACGTGCCTCGTTATCTATGGAAAACATGGGAAGGTGGCCGTGTTAAAATGTTAGTACTGGATTTAAATTGTCCCGTGGTTGGAGAGGATTGTAAGGCGGACCGAAAAAAGTTACTTGTTGACTACTTTCACACAAACCTACATACGCAAAACTTTTATGCATTCCGCTTCTTTATCTGTGAAGTTTTAAATTTTATAAACGTCGTTGGTCAAATTTATTTTATGGACTTTTTCCTAGACGGAGAGTTTTCGACGTACGGTCGAGATGTAGTTCGTTTCACTGAAATGGAACCGGAAGAAAGAGAAGACCCTATGGCTCGAGTGTTTCCTAAAGTTACAAAATGCACATTCCACAAATACGGTCCATCGGGAACCGTGCAAAAGTTCGACGGACTATGTGTACTACCATTGAATATTGTAAATGAGAAGATCTATGTATTCTTATGGTTCTGGTTCATTATCCTGTCAATTCTCAGTGGCATCTCCCTTGTCTACCGTGCCTTTGTTGTCGCCGGTCCGCGTGTACGTTTATACCTGTTGCGCGCACGCAGCCGCCTCGCTCCACAGGAGCAGGTCGAAGCTGTAGCACGTAAGCTACAGATCGGTGACTGGTTCGTGTTATACCAACTTGGAAAGAATATCGACCCACTAATCTACAAGGAGTTGATGAGCGATTTAGCGAAGAAGTTTGAAGGGAAAGACACTGTGTAGTGGGCGCTAGTGGACAGTGGTAGTGATGAGAGTGCTAGGCGGCGGGCCGCGCGGGCGCACAGAGAGCGACGGGAGCGGCCGCATGCCGACATTCCATTACCTACACCCGACGCGGGGAACGACCTCCGCCGGGCCAGTCATTGTATTCCAGAACCGCTTTAAAACTTTATGCTACTGATACGAAATTATATTAGTACCTTTTCCCAGGCGACTTTGACTGATGCGTGCCTGCACGCGTGCATTTAGAGTAACGTTTTTAGGGCATGTTTACGATAGTCGTAGAATAGATAATAGATCTCGTGCCTTCGTTTTGTATTGTTCGTGTGCGAGTGAATAACGTTAAAGGGACGTCTCATTGTGATATGTAATTATTATTATATCTAAATTAAGTGTTTATCGTGTCCGAGGTTGATCGAGTGCCTAGCGGCTGTCTTATTCCTAAGTTTTAGATAGTTATCTAATGTAATTTCTTTGTTATCGAACGTTTACTCGATACGATATTGTATAAAGCAATAATGAACTATTAGTATTAAGAGACCAATTATTGGAATTGGTTGTTGACAATATTGTAATTTTTACTAATTGATACAAGTGTCTATACCTTTTATACTGACGAAATCGAGTCGATTATGATTGATATTTTCTGAATATATTTACTGCCACATAATTTTGTTGTTTTATTGCAATATCGCTTAATTAGCACATCAATTAGTTGAATAGGAAGAAATTAATCGAGAGCGATAAAGACAAAGCAAGGCAACAAAGCGTGGAATACAAAACCAGATTTACTGACAAGCGACTGCAGTATAACCTTCTTTGTTCGCGCGCCTGCTAGCGCCATCTGCTGTCAGCTGACGCGCACTCAAAACTCGAATGCACGATGGATGGCGCTCGTTTGAAATTTAAAAATATTTAACACTAGTTTTTTGTTTACTTATTTTCTTATATAAATAATTTATCTGTGTGATATATTAAATTTAAAAAATACTATACTCAATCACTTTAATGCATTGCCAAAAAATGTTTTTGGCATTTTTGTTACCTCCTTCATACAATCAAAAAATGTGTGCCTTAATATGTAGGTAATAACTTTTTTAGAGTTCTAAATCTTTGTTTTAAATTTGTACTTATAGGAGATCTATAATTGAAAAGTTTATTATTTTTAACTAAAAAAAAAATAAAATGTAGACATTTATTTATACAAGTTACACTTTAAAATTATATAATAAACAAAATACAATTTACCTGTTAAAACCATAACGCATAAGATTCTTTGAAAAGCCAACACCTGACTGGTTTTTAAAGTACTTTCACACGGATAGGCTTTGTTTGAGTTTTTTGACAAACAATATAGTTCTAGGAAGCGACACTTTGTCTACTTACTTTTGGTTGTAAAATTTACTTTACTTTAGCAATTTCTGTTAAAGATATTGTATTTATACATATTTCAACGTCACTTTCAATTGTATTTTAGTGCTTCATAAGAACTCTAAACCAGATCTAATTTCATGCCTAATCTATACAGACGAATAAAATTGAAGTGTCTGTTTGTAATGTCAAAATAACAGCTTTTTACTGTACTAATAAGGATTTTATTTTCCTTCTGCCTATTTTCTGAGTAATCTCCGAAACAACATGACCGATTTTGACAAAACTTTCACTGGTACGCAGCTGATGTTATAAGGAGTAAATTAGGCTACTTTTATTTTAGCAAAAGAACTAAATATATTACATTCACACAACCAAATTCATAACTAATGTTAACAAAAATTTTTTTTTTGTTTGTATTTCGATTAGCCAACAACCACAAAACATGCCAATCGCTTTATAAGAGCAAGTAGAATGGAAAACGAAAGCTGCTTTATTTGACTGACTTCAAAAAACTGTGTGACCTATTCAATTTTGGTATGTGTAATTTTTTAGAGTTGGTTCTATATTTTGAAGTTTAAACTCCACCCCTGCGGGTAATTTTTAAAGTAATTTTTAATTCGAGTGTGTTTTTTTATACAAGGTAACACCAATCGAATCATAAAACATTAAAAAAACTTAAGTTTAAAAAATAACAGACTATTCCAATAACACGGTAACAAATACACAAAGCAACAAGTCATGAACATGAAAACTGTGTTCTGGAATAGTTCATTAAATTTCGTGAAAGTATTTTTAAGATATGGATAAATAAACAGACAAATAGCATAGCTTGTAGGTATATTACCAACATTCCTTAATAAACAATAGTAAAAATATAATTAAAAAAACTGGTAGTACGATTAAAAATCATAAATCGAACGAATCGTTCTAGTAATTATATATACACTAGCAGAACCCGCAGCTTCGCTCGCGCTAAAACTACAAAAAAATTTTTAAAAAGGTAGTTTCATACAAATTTTCGTCCCCTATTTTACCCCCTTATAGGACGAATTTCGGAAAATGCTAAGATATGTATTTATTTAATTTTATTGAAGAGCATTAATACCAAGTTTCAATTCTGATCATAAATATTTTCTTGGATTGTATTACCTATAACCTGTTTTCCCGTGGGAATTATATAATCTCGCACTGTAAAAAGTAGCCTATGTTACTCTCCAGCCCTCTAACTATCTCCACACAAAGAAATACGCCAATCCGTCACTCTGTTTCGACATGAAATAAGGACAAAGAAACAAACACATTTTTAAATTTATAATATTAGTACTAACGATTTTTCCTCGCTACGCTCGTGTGAGTCAATAGGTACGTTTTAATTCTTTTTCTAAAATAAAACTAGCCTAAGTTACTCCTTAGCTTCCGTCAGCTATCTACCAGTGAAAGTCCCGTCAAAATCGATCCAGCCATTTTGGAGATTATTATTATTATGTACAGACACTTCAATTTTATTTATCTCTATATAGATAAACAAGGATGGAGGACGAGGAGGACGGAGGAGTAAAAAAAAGAATAAAAATAACAGATTCGAAAACTAATAAGTATAATTAAGTATGTTAAATAAAATGTATGGAATTAGAAAAAGTGAAACGACTGAGCCCAAGCTCTAAGGCACTAAAGAGTTGAACTACATTATCAATCTCCTAGTTCCATCACTGGATCAGCTCGATATTAGGAAATTAATACATCCAACATACTTACAAGCTTTCAATTCTTTACGACAATAATTGAATAGTGGGTTAAAATCAACTTTCAAGATTTTATTTCATACTAGCATTGCCCGTGGCTCCGAACGCGTTCAGATGTCCAAGAACCAAATTCTTAGGTTTTACATATTACGTATACTCTTACATTGCAGTTTTTGTATTTTTTCTCAGAAATGAGATATTTTCCCGCGGTAAAAAGTATCCTATATGTTGACCCGGATAACTAGGTATCATCATACCAAATTTCATTAAAATCACTCCAGTAGTTTTTCCGTGATGCGGTAAGACGGACAGACAGACAAAAATTCTAAAAACTATAGATTCGACCTCTGTATCGATAATAAGGTCTATTTCAATAAGATTTTCTAAAAAATATTTAATGTACAGATTTGGCTTAGTTACAATTTTATTATATGTATAGACTAGAAAAACAAAATCAAATTTATCCCACCGGAACCGTATAATTTTCCGAAATAAAAGTGGCCTATGTATTCTGATGTATAAGCTATATTATTGTAAGGTTTCATTAAAATACATTCAGTAGTTTTTGCGTGAAAGAGTAACAAACATCCATACGTCTATATATCGACATCAGTACATCCTCACAAACTTTCGCATTTATAATATTAGTAGGATAGAGTTAGAACTTAGAGGCAAGTGAAGCTAATAAAAGCGATAGAAAAATAAAAGAAACTTCTTATTGTACTAGTACAATGTACACACATTTTACGTCACATACCGACCAACATAAATAAATAAATAATAGTCATTGACAATTGACGTATAACAGTTTTAAATTAAAATATTATGTTTGTATTGTTTATGTCCAACATCTTTTTAATATAAATAATAATAATAATAATAACATATATCTAAGTATTGTAGTGTAGTACCTACGTTACTATATCCCTAAAATGTACTTACTGGAAATATTAAGTGAAATGGGTTTAAACCTAGATCTCGCACCTTTGAGATTTTCTTGAGGGAACCATTATCAACATGATTGTCATTCGGTAATAGATACAATAGGGGGAAAAGTCCTAAAAATCCTTAGTTATATTTTCGAAACACATTTTGTTTCTGCCAACTTACACTTAGCTAACATTGTAAACTACGACCGGTTCCTCTTACCATGAAGTATCGAGCTGTGAAATATTATATATTATATATACTAACAAAATATGAGTCCAAGTTACTTGAAATAAAATTTATTACTATTATTATATATGCTTAGATAGGTATTTAGTCTTAGTTAAATACATTAAGCGACGTCAGAACGATCCTACTATAAATATGACTCTATTGACAATTAGCAAGCAGCAATTAAGGCCGGCCGCATACTACAAGATTTTTCTGTCAGAAAATTTGTGATGCCCGCTATCACCTGTCAGAAACTTCGCTCCAGAGAGTTTGACAATGAGTTTATGTTCGCGAAATCCGCTCGACAACTGATGCGAATTTCTGAAAAGTGTGCCGGGTCTAGTACAAAATATATAGAGAGCGTGCCTTCCGACGTTCTGATAGTATGCGGGGTTTAGACCAAAACATATGACCAGGTGCCTTCCAGCGGGCGTCAGAAATTTTCTGTCAGAAAAAGTCTTATAATATGCGGCCGACCTAAAACAATGTTTGACGCGGTGAAGCTATTGAAGAAGTTTGCTAGCTATCGATATTTTATTGTTGTCAATTCACTTATTGATATATGTAAATTTAAGTTTCATTTTAAATGAATTTGTGTTATTTAAAGTGTAACTTCTTTAGATATATTTTTTTTTAAATTGGTATTGTTCCTTAGGATATCCTTCATACATACAAACAATTTTTAGTTGTTGTTAATATACAGAATACACTAGCCTGTGGGTGGCA